CAAAGAACAATCTTAGCAATGAAAACAGGAGCAAATCTACAGATACAGTTGGGATGAAATTAGATGTGGTACTAGAATCCAGGTTTTGCCACTTACCAACCTTGTTTGTGACATCTGAGCTTCAGTTTGCTCAGATACAAATTGGAGTTGATATTTACTCTGATATTTATGCTGAGACTGCCTAGTCACAGGTCACTCAGCAAATACTAATTCCCTCCCTCTCTCTTCAACTCTCTTTAATTATTGGTTGTGCAAAATGAAGAGGGCAAAACTAGAAATGTGCAATCTGAAAATTATTCATCTTCTATATAGACAGTCATACTCTCTATCAACATGCATAAGCAAGAATTGACCATAATTTGTTTTAAAATGTGTTCTTACCTGCCAAAACATATTCTTGAGTACATAATAGTCCACATCCAAAGCAGCCATAAATATGATTAAAGGTAAAAAAAAAGAATAAAGTGAAAAACTTGGTGTTCTTAGAAGAGGGTAGACAGTTTGGTGCACCTAAAGTAACAAAGGCAAACAAGAAATTAGTTCACTGCCATTTTCAAGTATGGGAAATTAGGTTGATGCTATGTCAATCAATATAAATTTTAGAACAGTCCAGTTTGTAACTAATGAGAGATTATCTGCAAGGTTGATCCTAGGGGTCTCTTGGGGTAGATTTATTGCTCTAACCATCCAGACAGGTTTTATATATATTTATATAGTCCTTTATATATATAGAGAGAGAATTGTGTGGGTTTTGGCTACATGAGCGTTGTTTGTGGTATGTAACCAGTATTTTCAAAAGTAGTATACCTACCATTGGTGATACCAGAAAAAATTTTAGGTGATTCACAGATAAGTATTTTTTAATTTGACTGTTATCTGTTTATTTTAATTTTCAATGGGCAGGGGAAAGAATCTTAAACAAGTACTTGTGGTTTCGCAGACAGTTGCTTAGGATTTAAAATCTTTTAGTGAGCCAGTAGAGAAAAAGAATACATAGATAATAGTACAGATTGTATTTATAAGACATAAATCATGAAGGTTGTACATAGATTAATGGTAAATACAACAATGATTGAAGTGCTATAGATATTCCCTCCTAAAAGGTTTATTTTGGCCCAATGAATAGTTTAACTTTCATTCCTTGACCTCCCTGTGCCTCAGTTTCCTCACCTGTAAAATGGGAATAGAGTACCTACTTCTACTGGGGTGCTGTGAGAGTAAATGATTTAACTGAAGAGTTAATAAGCTAATAAATTAATTAACACAAAACACTTAAAAGAGCGTAGCACATAGTAAACACACAAAAGATGTTAGGTAGTAATAGTGGTGGGATTTCAGAAGATTAAGAAGAGGCTTTTACAGTCCTACATGGATATAAGCATTATCTCCATTTTTAGAAAATAAAAGAATGAGTGAAGGCAAATTGTTATTGATCTCATGGTTATACAGTTGAAATCAGGAGTTAATACTAAGTTGATAAATTAATGAATTTTTCTAGTATCTATAGTGAATATTATATGATGCAGGTTTTATATGCACATTTTGTTACTGATCTCATTGCTATGCAGTTGAAATGGGAGTTAATACTAAATTTATAAATCAATGATTTTTTTCCTTGTATCTACAGTGTATATTATGTGATGCATGTTTTACATTGAATCTAGCAGTTAAAAAAGAATAACCGTGCCTCGTAACAAAAATGACTAGTGGTCTCTACAGGTGTTAAAGACAACAGCAGGAAGAAGCCTATGTATGTCCAGGGGAAGAAAATCAGAGCGAGGCTTCAAAGGCAGATGCTAAGGAACCCAAGCATACAAATAAATTTTCCTCGCTTTAAAATTACTGCTTCATTTTAAGCTTCCCTAGTTTATGTGTCCTTTACTGTGTGGTTTTCATTTTCAAAATTTTTAATACCAGGTGAAATTTTTTAGCTGTTCATATAAAAAAATTCCATACTTTAGGGGATGAGGTGGGATTGAACCTTATTTTTGGTATTTGTCCTTCAATTTATTTTCTAATTTATTGTACATACAGTACCTCAATAAAATCGTAGGCCAGTCGTCCTATCATAAATCCTGACAGAGAAAGAATTGTCAAAACAAGGACTTCAGAATTCTTTATATATGTCCTCAAAAGCCCTAAAGAAATACATGTATGTGTTATTTAAACATAATTTATAGTTTCAAAACGATTTCATTAATATTCCTTCTCTCTAGCTATTTAATTTTAAACTTCTGAGTGTCATATCATATGGACAAATAATTGACAACGGTTACAAATCTCTTTTTTTTTTTTTTTTTTTGAGACAGAGGCTCACTGTGTTGCCCAGGCTAGAGTGCCATGGTGTCATCTGGCTCACAGCAACCTCAAACTCCTGGGCTCAAGCGATCCTCCTGCCTCAGCCTCCC